AGCCGTGCTGCTGCAAGTAATGAAGAATTAATGATTTTTGGAAAAAAGAATGCTGGGTTTTTTTTAAAAAAAAAAAAAAAAAAGAGAGAGAGAGAAAAGTAAAGAAATATTGAGAAATGATGTTGATTTTTTTTTTCCTAGTTCCTGTTCAAAAACTCTCTAGAAATCTGCAGTTACTAACTCTCCCCCTTTCCCTGTCCCCCACCTTTTCATGAGAACATCTTAATCCAAACATCAAAAGAGATAAAACGTTTCCACGTGGGATCAGAATAACATATTTCTGTCTGTTGAGTTTTCTTCTGTGTTTGTTGTTTTACTTACTTGAACCTCAAGAGAAAATTATATCCTGCCATTCTGCCAATCCTCTTTTGACTGCACCGTACTGATACTGGCTTCTGCATTATAGCTGAAAATTCATTTTAAAATGTTTTGTTTTGCGGATCACTTGAAATTTGGGTTCTGTTTTTGTCATTTTTCATAGCAAAGGGGAGGAGGTCTGTCTCCTGTGGCAGTGACATCACTGATAGGACAGTACTTTTTCCCCGATATTTCCAGCTGTGGCAACCTTTTCAGCTAAGCAAAATCGATCCCCTTTGCAGGGGGTGTTGCAAGCAGCAAGAACAGACATGTCTGAAACCTGCTGCTCCAGAAGTGCAGGGGAGGAAGCAGCAGGGAGGAGAGGCAGGAGGTGTGGGCAGGGGGAGCACCCCGTGCTCTGCTGCGAGCCCTAAGAGCAGCCGCGGCTCTGCCAGCTCAGACCCAAAAGCCCTTCTGGGGGGAAACCCCTCTCATGCAGCGGCCCCTCAGCCCGAGGTGGAGGCAAGGACAGGCCGGGAACGCGCCACTGCTGTTGAGGAGTTCTCCCCCAGCACCAGCAAGGCTGTTACGGCTCCAACTGCTCCCCGTCACCAGCGTCCCTGCTGGGAGAGTCCACCCGAGAGAAAGGCCCCAGAGCCTGTCCTTCAAGCTTAAACAGGCCAAAGCCCTTCAGGAGAGGAGGCAGGCCAGTTTCTCCTGCCTACCAGCTGTCATGAGATACACCTGTGGAGAGATTTTCTTCCTTGCTTTCTGCCGTCTTGATAGTGTCCTTTGCATGTGGTCCTTAAGTCTTTTTTCTTGCACTCAACACAGCTGGAGGTAGCACGTATTTGTGATGGGAACAGGACATCAAAATCTCACTTGAAAATGTTCCTGTTGTCTCTGCAAGATTTTGGGAGTGAATGGATTTTAACGGGCTTGGAGGGAGGGTGCTTGTTTGATTCCCACCTTGAGCGTTGCCTGCTCAGCTATTCTGCACCTGAAGGACTTTTCAGAGAGGAGGTGGCCAAAGATCCACCTATTCTTGCTTGCATTCATGCTGTTGGATTTTTAAATTTATTTATTTTAGGCAGTCCAGAATGTTGATTCTGTTATTTATTCTGAGAAAACGCATATAAACTGTAAAGATTGTAGAAAGTAGCTTGGGTATGTTAGATACTAGCAGTAGATGGCCCTCTTCTTACTCATTTTTGATTTAACCTACATGCAAAGCTCATTGCACATCCGTTTTCTTTTTAAATGGAAGCTCAGTATAGCTGTACCACGGAGATTGTTTTCTCTAGAGCTATGGCAATTAGAGTTCCCAAATGAGGATCAGATGGATAGTGTTCAATATGTTTTCCAGACAGCACTGTCATTATAACAGACAGCAGATTTTTTTTTGTACGGCTCCAACCGATGAGGAAAAGCTTGGTTTTTTTTTTGTTTTGTTTTGTTTTTTAAGTTTTAAAGTTTGAGTTAGTTTTGTTCTGCTTCTGTTTCTCTAAGGTTGGTTTCTGTTCTATTTATTTTTCAAATTCAAAATACTGTGCTAGTCTGGAATGGCTTTTAATAACTATCCTTTCCTCGTGTAAAGTGGTTTCATATTGTTCTTTATCTGAGCTGTATCTGCAGGGCTTGTGAGGTTTAATAATTTTGTTCTGTAATGCTTTAATGAAAGTCTCTTTGCAAATGAAAATGAATGGTCATATCATGTAATTGAAGATTTCAACCTCAAAATGGAGGTGGCACAGGCTTTCAAATATGTATGAAACATCATTTATTCTCTTTAAACCGTTTCCTCCTGCATTTATTTTATCCCTAAACTAGCGCCGTTAGTGTACCCCGTGGTCCACAGACTAGAGAATGGTGTCAGTCCTTGCCCCGAGCATTCCTAGAAAAAGAATAAAAGAACACAGATTGCCCAGATAATTCACTGAAACTTATTATCTGCTTTTTTTTTTTTTGATTAATGTGTAATAATATCCATTAGCTATGGAAAGGAAGAAAGATTCTGTAGAAGTGTGTGCTTTAATGGGAAAAATAACGGAAGGGCTATTTTGGTTTGTAGAGAGTGAGCAGAAAGGAATATTGGGGTGAGACAGCCAGCAGAGGAAAGTAATGAAAAGAAGAATGCAAGCAGCCTGCAGACAAGAACTCATGATGAAATAGGAGGTCTGGAAAAAGTATAGAAAAGGGACTAGAGTATAATGAAGCTATTGTGTCGAGAGGTGTAAAATAAAGACAAAACTGAGAAGCCTGAACTTAAATAAAAAAGCCCATAGGTGCGTTTTTTTGATCATGTCATTTTTAAATGTAAAGTAAGAAGCAAACTGCATCAGAGGGGAGTGACTTTGGATTGTGGAAACTGAAAGATGGTTTTCTTACAAAAAGAGACAGTGGATAAGAAGTAATATCATATTCAAAAATATGGCTTTGGTTTTGTTTTGTTTCTCCTGTGCTATTGCAGAAAAGTCTCTGCTTCGGCCTTATGCTGCGTTGCCTCCTTCAGGGAGAAAAAGGAGGAGGAATGGCAGGTAGAGAGTTTGCCTGGATGCTGATGGCACTGACTAGACAGAGAGGAAGGAAAAGGAAGAGGCAGAGAAGCTGCTGCCTGCTCCGAGCAGCTTTGTGTGAGGTTAGCCGCTGCGTCCGGATCCGAAGGTGGAGAGAGGAGACAAAAGCGAGGAGAGCTCGGAGCAGCACAGGCAGGCCTTGGCTGCCTGGAGATGGCAGCAGACACTGTGACAGCAGGGCAGGCTCCCTGGCTGAAAGGTGGCAGGCAGGAGAGCCCAGAAACGTTGGCCAGGTGGGCAAGAACCGACCTTCTTCAGTTTCACATAAAGGCTAGTGTAATGAAACTCTTTATGGTGCAAATGATAATAAATGGTAATAAAATTAGTGGAAGAGATTCTTCAGTGAAATGAGGAGACGAAAATGTATTCCAGATACTCTAAAGAGGTAGAATGAGCATACAGTTCATAGAAATTTGATGAACAGAGGCTCAAGGAGGTTGCACAAAGCTTATGAACACAGACATAAAGGTTTAAAGCAAGGTAGCTGCTGGACTCATCTGCTGAAGGAGCTCGGTCAGAAGCTATATCAGTGGAGAAACCGGAGATATGTTTGAACAAAGGCTGAATGTAGTGATAAAATACGGTGGGGAAGAAGAATAGGGGGCCTAAACCAAAGTCATGAGTCAGTGAGGGGAAATCATGTGGCTGAGAGATGATGTAGGAAGGATGAGCTGAGATATAAAAAGATACAGGAGACAGTGTGAGGGGGTTGGTAGGAGTGGAAGGGGATATGTTATAATCAGCAAAACAGAGTTTCAGGGTTCAGCCTTTGTCTGTTGATCAGAGTGATATTTTTATGGTAAACCAGGAACTCCTAGACAAAGCAATAAGTAATAGGAATACAAAAGAAAAAAAAATAAAAAAGGAGGGGAGGCTGGTTAAAAACCACTGGGGCAGGAGCGAGAGGCAGCACGAGCAGGCTCCTCTGCAGTGATAGAAATCATACTGCTGAAATATGAGGGCAAAGAGTCTGCCAAAAGCAGGGGAGCTGCTGCCTCAGCAGTAAATGAAGAGTAACTAGCAGTGGGAGGAGGTGGGAGCAGAACTGACCTGGAGGTTTCACTGAGGGTTAATAGGTGGTGGAGAACAAGAAGACCCAGCCTAGCTGTGAGTTAAAAGGAGGAGCAGGATTTGAGGAGGGAAGGAATCTTAATATCTTCAAAAAATCCTAATGCACCAAAGCATAGAGAAGAATTGGAGGTGGCGGGAGAAAAAAAAAATCAGAACAGATTAGGAGTATCCTTAAAAAAAAAACACATCTGCATAAGTTTCATTTTAATGTAAAGGACAGGAAAAAATCAGAAACCCCTAAGTGCTTAGAATGTAAAGAACCTAGTGGAAGAAAGGAGGGAGTTTTTTGTAAAAATAAATAAATAAATTGGTCATCCGGCAAAGTAACCTACTTTGG